GTTCAAAATTAAACATTCCGTCTCGTTTAGTCTTGTGATTTAAGGAGCCAAGATGATGCCATAATGAGAAAGAGAGAGAGAGAGAGACAAAGAGTAATCCAACCATTTTTTGTTGTTCTCGTAGAGCTTGCAACTGTGTATACATCACAAAAGCTAGATAAGGCAGCGTAACTTGAGCAGGTAAAACATTTTTTGCTTCTTCTTATTTCAATTGGGGAATTATTCATCAGCATTTTGTCATTCCCTCAGAAAATTCTATGCCTTCTAACAAGCAACATGTGACAGAATTCCTTGTTACAATAGGTTTCAGTAGCCATAAATCAGAGATTGTAGAGAAAAAACAAAGAAGAGTTCACGTTTATATTTCTTTCATGTATAGCATTCAATACGGTCCAGGATTTAGCGTCTTTAGCGCCCACTGGGCTGAATTGGCCTTGTGCAACCCCTATTACTATTGTAGAACTCAATGACTTAATTGGCTTTATATATTCAGAGCCTTTTGTAAACAGAAAAGAACATTAAATATAATACAGTTTTATACTAATATAAAAAGCAAAGTCACTAAAACCGTTGTAATCGCTGACCGCAAAAACTACTCAACTGATCTTGCTAAAACTTGGCATACAGATTGATGAAACTTTCTAGATAGTTTAAGTACAGTTTTAGTCTTAAAAAAATTAATAACAATAGTAATCAATAAGATCAAAGTTTTGTAAAAAATGCTAGCTTTTTACGTTAGTTCAGTAGGATCCACTAAGTGGCGTGGACGTAAAATCAAAGCCACCTGAAATAAAATAAAATAAGTGTGGTTATAATACACTCAAGAGTCTTACCATCTTCCATAGTTGTTCATAAATAGTGTGTCAAGAATAAATATGTTAGTCATGCAGCTGAATATTCCAGCTACCAACAACACTCTTCTCCAATGGGCAAGTGACTTACGTCTAATTCAACCCTGAATGACCAGGATTGACAAGTGCCACCAATAAAAAAGTGTTCTCCACGATAATGTTCCTGGGGAGATACCAAAGACGAGTCTGGCCAGAGCACAACCTGCTCCAACACTTTAAAGTTTTAATGCCGTTCAACCATCCATTCTGATACTGTCAGAGAATTTCTGATTACAAATTCAAGCCAAGGACGACAGCCCTGAGGAGTATGGGTAGTCACAATGGTCTTCTTCTCAGTGGTTGTTCCAATGGCATACCCACAGAGAAGGTATTCTCCAAGCCCACTTTCCCAATTTTACAATGAGCGGTTGATTATCCAGGAAACGATCTGAAGACGATATATTCTTTAATCAGCGGTGTACCTTCCTCCAGCATGATATCCATACACAGAGACTTCGAGTCTAAGAGTCAAGCTATCCACAGCCAGCTCTTTATTATCACTAATAATAATAAGGAACAGCTGAAACTTTCACCACTGGCCCAAAATAAGTATCTACTTTCTCTTTACAATCAATCTCATCGGTTCTTTTAAGGGCCACCCAAGCTTAGGCTACCTTGCCAACAAATACGTATTTACTACCATTTTTGGCCACAATTAATAGACCAAAAGACTACATAAGGCCAGCTACTATTAAATCAAGTCAATTATTCACTGGCAGACTTCACAAGCGGAGTAGTTTGTTGCAAAGCTGCAAACCCTGGTGACCATTGGCCCTATATTACCTTCTCAACTCTAAGCATTTAACTACGAATCACGGATCATCTTCAAGATCTACACTAGGAGAACCTAATGGCTATAAAGGAAAAAAAAAACTTGAGCAAGCGGGACAGTCTCCATTGAGCAAACATCATAAAATAATGTTCACACCCTAAATTTCCATAACAACTGAGCACTACAAAAAAAAAAGGTGCTTCGTACACCAACATCTTTGACGTAATATCAGAAGACTTTGGAAAAAAGTGCTCTACATCTAGCTCAAAAGCTTCAGACTTTGTAGTTTTTTTTTTCCAAACAGTCTGATGCTATAACAACAGGCCAGAGAAGATCACCCTGGAGTTTAGAGGCAATCACGTTTGCTGGAAACTTCAGTCAAGAAAGAGTTCACTTAAGATGCTCACTGGTTCTTTGAAGGGCTATCGGACGTCGAATTACCTTGACAATAAATATATTAAAACTTAAAAAAATTGACAAAAACAGCATTCCGGGCTTACAAAAGTCTTAACCATGCCAAAAGTTGCAAGAGGGCGAATTGGGAGGGAAACTTCGAATGAATCTAATAAATACAATTTTAGACATTGAGACACTGACGCAGAATATGTACGACTGTTGAAACAGCAGCGGCTAAGGTGACAAATAAAGTCAATTACGTAAGAGATCAATTTTTTATTTTACACTCACAGTAATCTCTAAAATTTTCCAGATTTTCAGAGTAGGTAGAATGTGTTTTTGTATTTTTGTGGTGATAAGAAATGTAGAAGTGAAGCTCTCGGACGTTATGGCTCTGGTTATAAAGTTGTGAGAAAAGAGAAAACTTTTTTTTCTATTTACATATTTGTTGCGAATTTTAAATCGTTACATATTTAAAAAAAAGCCCTTTTCGTAGATTATACGGAAGAAACTGCAAATCAACGGCCCTTTGGGCCAACGATTATTCTATGGCATACGAAAAGTGCCGTACTTTTCTTTCTTAATATTTGTTCACTTTTTACAGATCATTATTCGACCAAGTAAACTGTATGGATTTCGAACGAATATGTTTTTGATAAGAAGATTTTTGTTTAGCAAAGTGTCAGGAATAGATGTAGAACTTAGAATTGAATACGTTCCACATTACATATTAACACACTACGGTGTTTTTTAGTGGGTCACGGACGACACCGCGACGGGGGGTGGGAGGGGGGTTGCTTGTCATACACAGTTCATGCTTGCTCCAGTTGTTATCACTTCAGTTTTTTTTTTTTTTCTAACTCGTAAAGAAATTCTAGCAACTTAATAAATTTTTATCATTTGTAAGTTTTAATGAGTCGGTAAGCTATTTAATGAATAAATAAGCTAAACATGTATACTATTTGGCAGGTAGATTTTTTTTGGACTACTATTGCCATATAACGTATTCTCGATTTATGTAGATTTTAACCATGCTCTTGCAGTTAAAATAACAGTTATTTTATAATTTTAAAATGCTGTTTTTTTATTTATACGTTAGTTGCATCTGAACTGTGGCTTTTGATTAATTGTAGCTTAGCTCTTGGTCATGGTGTTCTAACGTACTTTTTTTGAAAATTATTAAAAGGACTATAATTTTTATGTGTATAATTCTTAACTGTGACTTAAAGTATTTCTTATATTTAGTAAAAAGTGAAAAAATAGGAGACAAATACATAGCAGTCGATAACGTTCTTTCGTTCCATTTATCTTTTATAATTTTTCACGTTCATTTGTAAAAACGTTACTTCTTTTCTACGATGTAAGAATCAAAATTGTAACATTACCTTTCAGATAGAGCTCACACTGTCTGCTTATTAAATTGGCATTTTAGCGTGATCTGCGTAAGAATTGCCTCTTAAGTTGTAGGTTAGGGTTAAGAACATGCAGGTTGTAGCCAAAATATCTTTTAATGTACAGACAACGCAAGTACTTTTTCGGAAGAAATGTGGCACTTGCATCCCCGAAACCAGGAAAGGAGAGTCAACTTGCAGTAAAAATATTGTAGTAACGAAAAATTCTGGATTTGGTAGATTTGAAGAAAAACTCGCTTTGCAAACAAAAAATATTAAAGACGGAAACAACAAATACTAGAGTCCTTGCTAAGTCTATTAAGCTGCAATTTATTACTAGAAATAATAATAATAGTAAATACTTCCATTTAGATGTTTAGGATGACGACTTTGCCTGATGCTGTTTATTCTAAACAAAAAAACCTTTCTCTCATGTAAAGCTTACACCAACACAGCTCTTGCTTTTATCTTTATAGCAAACTTTCTTGTCTATTACAGCAGTAAAAGGGTGGAGACACTAAGGATCGCAAAAACAAAGAAAAATTAGAAGAAACATTATTTTGACAGAATGGTAATCTAACGTAGTTCAGCTGACTTTTTACTGTTCGAACAGTAATATATACTGTTTTGAATAGTATTTTTTATCGTAAGTACAGCCATTTTTGTTGTTAATTCAATAGAAATTACTACTCATAATCGTGAAAATTAGGTTAACAAAAGTGAATCACACTGGATTACTGTTATGGCACAGTCAATGTCACAGTTTATTTTTTTTTTGTGCTAACATCGATCAGTTAACGCACTTGCTTGAAAAATAACTTGCTAATTTGCCTACTGTACTGAAACATAAATGTATGCTCTTTACTTAAGACTGACTAAAACAGCACATGAAACTGTAGCTTTACCTGATCTTATCAAATACCGTACTCCCATTTGAAACTTGTAATGTTTCAAGCACGATTTCAAGTTAAATGTTTTTATCAAACTTGCAAAGAGATCTAACTTGGGTTATAAATTTTACCATTTATCGACCATTTTTCAGCTATTTATATCTGGCAAAGGCCTCAGTACCTAGCTCTTTACGTGGGTGAAAATTTTTATACACACAGCTGAAAATCATAATATAAAATGTCTCTGAGTTGTCTACAATTTATCGTTGAAATACTTATCGAACTTTTTATATTACGAAATATTCGTCTACTGAACAGTAAATGATTCTTAATATTTCAGTATTTGTTGAAGACTCCTGATGAAATAGGTGTCTTAACATTTCAAAGTAACTGAAAAAATTGTAGGTGTCCTTAAGTTTATTACTTACAAGAAACCTAGCATCAAGGATCTTGTCACCAAGAAATATAAGAATTAATTGTTTTATATTCATCAAAATTAAATAAATATATTAAGTCTTCGTTCAATTACCACTAAAGGATACATAAAAACTTTTTTAACAAAAACTTAAATTCGTATAATTTATCTATTTAATAATTGAAACTTCAAGAGCCAAATTATGTACTGTTTTTATATGAGCTGAAAAAAAATATAATATTCCAGGTATTGCAGAAGCCACACGGGGTTTTAGTCTGAAAAAAAGCAACATCAATGATATCTTATTATTCTGTATTGCTGGTATTTTGCTTGGTATCAGTTTATTTTGAGACGCCAATATTTCTGAAGAAAAAAATAAGCACCGATTGTTAAAAAAATGTAAATATATTGTATAATAAAATGTATTTTGACAATCGTAATTTGTTGTTTTTAAAATTGTAATTTAAGATTTTTCACAAGTCTATAAAATAACAGGTTTGATGCATAACCATTTTAAATAACACTAAATAGGTGAGTATTACAAAATTTTTTACATCTTGGATGATTTTATCTTGTACCAGATTTCAGAAAAATTATGTGAATTCTATAAAATTACTGCCTAGTTACTTTTATTCTGAGAATCACTTACAAATAGTAATACAAACGACTCATAAGCATAAGTTTGTAATTTTTTTTTTTTTTTAATATCTCGAATTTCTTGTTCATCATTTTTGTTTTATGTTTTATAAGTAAGAAGAAAATCACTATAAAGTGACGCGTTTGACGACTATCTGGAGCCCTAGATGCCATGGAGGCCACCATTGACTTTACAGCGGTGGTAATGGACTCTCAAAACCTCCAAGTAAGTGTTTTTGTGTGGTACGAAGAGCAAAACTCTAGGATGCAACGTGTTAAGTACTACGCTGGACCCCAGGTGTTTCAAATGACGTGAAAAACTGTATAAATGTGTATAATGGCCCTTGAAACCCCGGAGTAACAAAATTTGACTTTCTTTTATGTTAAAACTGACTGAGTTGTAAGACTATTATTCATTCTTTCTCAAAGTTGCTTTTTTGAAATTAATATATGTATTGCAAAAAATTTTTTTATTTAAACTCAGATCCATAACTATCTAAACTAAGTTTCTGGATGACATTGATAATGGAATGAGAAAAATTTCATCATTATTTATCTAGCTGCACTATAATAGCTTGGTTTATCTTATTTTATGATTTATTACTTCAATTACAGGGTTTTTTTTTAACTTGGTAATCTTTGCTCTCATCACATAAAATATCAATCAAAAATTTTTTTCCTCTTTAATTCATTATTAATACAACCTACTTATTTAATTCATTAAAAATTCTGTTTCTTGTATTTCAACAATGCAAATTAATGTGTTGCAGCTTGGTCTGTCAATAAAAATTAATGAGGATAATCTCTATTAATGTACAATACAGAACTTGAAGAGTTTCTTGCTTTTATTAAACGCAGGTGCTCATAACGTGTGTGACTGGTCTATGCTTATGAATGCATCTAGATTTTATTATTTTTTTTCGTTACCATTAACTCGTTTTGATACATTTTCTGGTACTTTCGAAAACTGGAAAAAAATTCCAAGTTGTTTTTAAGGCCATAGTTAAAGAAAAGTAATAAATTTGTCGTATTCTTACGTTTTAAAAGTGAAGGTCCCATGTATGGTGAGAGGCATCTGATTTGGTCGAAAACATTAACTTCTCTGAGGAAAATTATAGTCAGCCAAGGAATATTCTTGGCATGTATTATGATTATCAAGATAGGTTAGTAACATGATATACTAATCCGATTTTTGTATTTGATTAATGCATTTTTTGTTGTTTTTATCAAAACTTTAACATCATTCTTGTATCTTATTTCAAACTTTGTTATGGTCTTTGTTTTAATTATTGGCTTCGTAATACATGTTTCCGTCACTATCAAACTGTGCTTTTTTTTATTGATTAGCCTAATGTCAAATGTTTGCCAAAAAACAGTATAAAATTGGCCTAAAAAATGAAATGTAAACAAGTTGACACTTGATAGGTGGTGGAAAACTTCTAGCTAAAATGCTGTACAAATGGATGCACCTTACGCAAAGTTTTAGTTTCTTTATATTACTTACAATGTGATCAGCACTTGTTGACTCAATGAGTTTGGTTTGTACTTCTCACTTTATTTGTAACTTGACAATTACAAGAGCCATGAAGTACACAGTCAGCTTTGGTACAAGACGACTTTCGTTAAGAATTTCTCTTTGTGAAGTGTTGAAATTCAATCATTTAAAAAGAAAAAAATTGTTCATTCATGCAAGTCATCACTTAACAACCGTATCTTTCTAAAGCTATCACCGTCCTATATACATGTAAAACTCATCTGGATTAGGGTAAGAAGTGGGTTACGATGACAATAGAAACTAAGAAAAACCTTTGAAGTAATGCTTTCGATACATCACACTGAAAATTTGTCGTAAAACCAATGGATACAGCACATATTCAAACGTTGTCCTGAAACTTATAATATTTTCTAACAGTGTACTAGTTTGTCTAAAACCAATAAGTAAAAATTGGCCGTCAAAGTTATTCACGAGATGCTGGGGACTCCGAAAATGTGATAAAGAGCTCGGAATTTTTTAAAATAATTTCGAGTGGCTTACACAATTTCTTACGACTTTTAACTGTAACTAAGGATTTTCACTAGTGCTTTGATTTTTTAAGTGGTAGAAGACGAATCCAAACTTATAAGATACTTCTAGACAGTTTTAAATTCTTATTAAGGATTTTCAAGGAATTTTTATTATTTTTCTGATTTCTAGAAGTTACAATTCATTTTTTTATCAACGGAAAAATTGTAAGACTTCTTTTTATGGTCCTTAATGCTAATGAACCTTTAAATCACTTTGAAATAGAATACCACGGAATAAGTTTTAGCTACGTATTAACGGAATTGCTTTTTAAAATATAAATTATTATTTACCTCTTCATCTTAAATTTAAGTTCATACATTTGAATAAGTGTAGCCCAAAATTTTAATATTTGATTTGTGACTAACTTTTTATTTTACTAAAACTAATAATAAATTAATCTATAAATATTAAGTGTTATAACGCTCTGTAATGTTGCTTTTGCATTAAATGTAAAACTGAGTATTTAAAAAATGTAAGTGATTAACAACCACTTTTTATCAGTATAGTAAATTCATAAAATACATCCTCAAGTAAGTAGACGTTGTCAATTAGCAGCCTAACTCTTTTTTTGTATTATTAGTAAATACAAAACAAGTACTTGCACAGCAACAGTTTATTCATTTTTAAAAAAAAAGTACTAAAAAAGATCTAAAGATATCATCGTTGATGCTCACTTTTTTTATATTTGTTTAATACATGAAAGAGTACCATAAGCTAAAATTTCTAATTGCTGATGCTTGTTTGTGTGTGAGTGTACATAATTAATTAGGAATACTAAAAAGCAGTTGGATTCCGTACTGCAAACGCTTGTTTTTAAAGTAATGAGTTTTCAAACTCAAATTAGTTTGAAAGACTATATAATAGTATTGAGTTCAGTACTTAATTGGAAGCTGCGTTGAAAATTATAAAAAGTAAATAAGTTCTAGAAAAATGGATCAGTAAGGGAATGAATAAGAAATCTTTTGTGGATAGATTAGGCTTGCTTTTGTAGATAAAAAAAGCTTGTATTAGCTCACCTAAAAGTGTTTTTTGTTAACTAACTATACTAAAACACAATTGTGCTGCTCATTGCCAAAGCTTGTTAACCTAACAGAACATTTTATTTATAAATAACAGTAAAAAATAATTTAGTCACCAATCCTAGATCTCTAATTGCTCGAAGATATATTTTATTTACCAACTATACCAAAACTCAGTTGGGTTGCTAATTGCCGATGCTTGCTCACCTAGCAGCAGATTTCACTGATAAATAATACAAAAAACATTTAAGTTCCAAAGTATTTTTTTTTTTTTAACAGTACTGCAAAAAAGTTAGGTTAGTTATCATCAATGCATACTTTTCTAATTCTTGATTTACGTTTACAAGAATAATACAAACTTAAATTGACAGTGCTGGCTTGTCCATGAGAATAGCTAATTAATTAACAATACTAAAAAACAGTTGGGTTTCTTATTAAAAATTCTTGCTTATAAGATGATGAGTTTCTTATACTACAAAAGTTTTAAAGATCACAATGTACTATGCCATTTGGTATTTAATTTAAAAATATGTTAAGAATTACAAAAAGTAATTAAATTACATAATGCTTTGTCGATGAAGAAATAAATCAAAAGTTTTATTGGATCAATTAGGTGATATGATTTGAAGTCTGCACTTGCTAGCTTAAAGATCTGTTTTGTTAACGAACTCTACAAAACACGAGTGGGTTGCCACTGACCAGTGCTTGATCGCCTCAGGACGAATATTGTTAATTTTTTAACATAAAAAATAGGAGGGTTGCTAATCTCCAATACTTTTTCACCGAAGAGTACTTTTTATTAACAATTTACACCTTATACGATATTTATTCATAATACTTTAATTATCAATAATATTATTTTTGTAACCACTATTATGACTATTTAATTACAATTATTATTTAATGCTTCTGTACACTTTTTTTTACGAAGACTGGAGTTTTTTGTACTGGAGCATGAATAGATTTAATTTATATGAACAAGTTTTACAAATGACTTTTATAAATACAATACTTAGTTAAAACAAGCTAATACACTGATGAAGAATAACATTAGTTTTTTGACAACGTTAAAGAACTTTTTTCTGTCTTGTTTTTTTAATATAAATACAACAAAATATTCAACTTCTTTCATTGATTCTACTATATATTTTTTTAGTGTGTCAATTTCACATAAAAAAGTTATATTCTAAGCACACAGAGTTTTTTATGCCTTTTATTAGCATTCTGAGCACTGAGAAGCTTTAAAAAAGATAACTTGAGATAAAAATATAACAGAAACATAGAAAAAAATTAGGTTTTTAATTCCATAATTTTTACTTAGATGCTTAACGTATTCTAGAAGTATTATTTCATAGTTGCTGTGACAAACTTATTAGCACATAAAATGGAAAGTAACAGTGTGTGATAATTCAGGAGAAACAGAAAGAATACGAAAGGAGCAAAGAAAATAAGGGAGTAACAGATAGAAATGTTGGAAGTAGGGCACAAGAATATGGAAAGTAGAGTAGATGATAACCCAAAGTTTCTAGCTTATCCAATCACATGACTCAAATTATTTACTCATGTGCTCTGCTTTTACAACTTTTAACTTCTCTCTCCTCCCCTCATTTTTTCTTAACTTCTCTTGACTTCTTTTTACTACTCTAAGGTT